GTCTTCCAGCTCTGACCTGAGACTCACTGATTGCTTACTGGGGCTGGGGAGGGGCCTGGGCCCAGCCCTCCCCGCCCCCACCAAAGCCTCCTTCTCCTGCCCAGCCACTAGCCTTCCTGCAGGAGGAAATTAGCTAAAGAGATCAGGCCAGCTAAGACTGCCAGGTGCAGAGGACCCAAGTGTGGACTTGGCCAAGGGGAAGGACAAAGCTGCTTCTCTGCTACACATTTGCGGGGGGTGGGGGTGGGGTAAAGCTAGCTGATTTCCACAGACCAACAAGGGCTCCTGTGGTGGTTAATAATCTGTCCCGGGGACAGGGGAAACATCTGGCAAGGGCGTCAAGGCACCAGAGTGGAAGCAGGAACGCGTGCCCGCAGAGGGCGGCCAGGATTCTGGCTCTGCTGAGCTGGGCTTGGCCCCAGCTGCTCCCAGGGTGGGGAGAGCAGGGCTGAGATGAGGCTGACCACAGGCCCCTCGTAATCTCCGGGTTCCTACCCAGTGCCCAGGACAGGGGCAGACACGGAAGGAAGGGAGGGGAAGCCGCTGTGCCAGCGAGCAGGAGCCGCCCAGCCTGACGGAGGAGGCACACTTCCTACCCCTTCCCGCTCCCCCAGACGCTGCAGCTCAAGCAACTCCAAAGAGAAACTGCCTATAACCCAGGCAGCCGGCATCCTAATGACTGCCTGCCTCCGGAGTGCAACCGCGCCCTGCCCGGCAGCACCCTGCCCAAGGTCTCAGGAAGAGCAAGGTCACAGCTGGGAGCAAGTGGGGGAGGGCTGTGGGGTCACGTGCTGGCTGAGGGCTGAGGGATGGACGGCAGCCCTCACAGCCAATCCCAGCCTCAGGTCAATAAAAGGGCTGCATCGCCCCCTGTGTGTGTGGGGGGGGGGGGGCAGTGCTCAGAAGACTACGCCCAGGCAGACACAGGCTCTGGCCTCAGTCTCCCATCCTCCACCACCACAGGCCTCTCTGAGCACTCTGCCTCCACCCATAGCCAGGGCAGGGCCTGCCAGAACCTCTCCCTGGGTCCCGACGTTTCAGGTTTTGTGATGGAAAAAGGCAAACTAGTCCCAGCCTAAATGGAACCTACAGCCTCGACTTTCCCAAGGGGCCCAGAGGTTCTATTCTGCACACTCCAGCCCTGACAGCAGCGACGGGTTTACTCTGCATCAGGACAGGGGAGGGAGGCAGAGTACCCCTGAGCCCTCTCCTCCTCACCGGCACACCCAGCCAGCGGGCAAAGACCAAGTCTCTCCAACCACCACCACCTCAGGCAGCTTCCAGCTTCCCACTCAACCTTGCTGCTTCCTCAGCCCCCTCTTTTGACTGCCCAAGGCCACTCCCCTGGGGGTGGGACCCACACCAACAGCAGGAAGGCCACAGAGGTCCAAAGGACCCACTGCTGGCGGGGAAGCCTGGGAGGCAGGCACACAACACTGCAGGGAGCACTGGGAAGGATGCCGGAGGCAAAGCCAGAGCAGAAGGGATGGCGGAGGAGCAGCTCCCAGGATTTCCAGAACCCGGGGGAACTGTGAGGTCCCACACGCGGCTTTATCGAGGGGAGAGGTCAGAATCTGTGCATTATCTCAAACTGTGTCTGGGAATTTCTTCTTCAATTATTTGGAAGCTTCCAGCAAAATCCTTCACCTCAAAGAGCACCCTGCTGACAAAGGCTGATGGGGGCTACCCGGGCGCCTAGAACCCCAGTCCCCAGCACCACAGAGAGTAGGGCTCCAGAGTGACCCCAATGGAAGGGCTGAACAAGCGTCCACGCACGGGCACCACACAAAGGCTTGTCCAGATCGTGTGCTATCCAGTCTGCACGACTCCATGACCACCATCTTGACCTCTGTACAAGTGAGGAAACGGGGCACGTACCCTGCCTGCCTGCCAGGGCGTCACAGAACTGCAAGCAAATCCCCAGCCTCCAGGTTTTAAACATGGTGCTGTCCTGCCTTCCCACTGGGCAGGGGCAGCTCCAGGCAAGACTGCCAGGGAGGAGGGCTGCCCGGCTAGCTGCAGACTGATCTGAGCCCGGCTTCAGGGCAGACTCCCAAGCCAACCCTAGTTCTTTTTTTTTTTAAGATTTATTTTATTTATTTGAAAGACAGAATTACGGAGAGAGGTAGAGACAGAGAGAGAGGTCTTCCATCCACTGGTTCACTCCCCAGATGGCCACAATGGCTAGAGCTGTGCCGATCCAAAGCCAGGAGCTTCTTCTGGGTCTCCCACGTGGGTGCAGGGGCCCAAGGACTTGGGCCATCTTCTACTGCTTTCCCAGGCCATAGCAGAGAGCTGGATCAGAAGAGGAGCAGCCAGGACTATAAACAACACCCATATGGGATGCTGGCACTGCAGCCCAGGGCTTTAACCCACTGCGCCAAAGCGCCGGCCCCGAGCCCTAGTTCCTGACCCACTGGCAGCAAAGGGAATGGCGCCTCACACTAGGGGTGCACCTTACCACCCACAGCCTGAGGCTTCCCCAGGCTCTGAGGTCTGGACTGTCTCCCCTCCTTTCATGGGGAGCTCTTTCAGAGCAAAGGACAGAGGGACTAGCACACACTGTGACCAAAATCTCCCTCCACCATCACTGCTGCTCACCGACCACCTAGCATGCCCAGGGACTGCACCAGGAGCTGAACTTGAATTTCCATTTTATTCCTCACATCAGTACTGCAAAGGCATAAATTATCCCCATTTCACAAATGGGAAAACCAAGGCCCCAGGAATTTCTGTGACTTGCCACCAAGTGGCAGAATTGGAACTGGCATCTGTTGGGTGCAAATCCACAGTTCCCTCCTTTTGACCATGGACCTACTCTTCTCCAGTCGGGTTCCATCCTGGAGACACGGGGCTACCATCTGCCCTCCAAGAAGCCACCACAGCTGGCTCCTGGGCTTAAAAAGTGGATACTGGGGCAGGCTGTGGCGCAGCGGGTTAAGCAGGTTAGTGCCAGCATCTGATCCAGTTCCCTGTTGATGCACCCGGGAAAGCAGGGGAGCATGGCCCAAGTCCTTGGGCCCCTGCACCCATGTGGGGAGACCTGGAAGAAGCTCCTGGCTCCTGACTTCAGCCTGGCCCAGGTGCAGCCATTTGGGGAGTGAACCAGCAGACAAAGATCTCTCTCTGTAACTCTTTTAAGTAAATAAATAAATCATTTAAAAAATTAAAAAGAGAGTGGATATTGTTCTTCCCATCATTACACAAAGAGAGGGTCTTCTCTGTCTTGCCCTCTTGTTACTGGGCAACATGCAGGCCACAGCCCACGCCAGGAAACTCCAGGAACCACCACCAGGAGTGGCCATCAGAGGTGGCGACCCTCACCCTGCCATGGGCATGCTGTTGGCTCCAGTGAGCCAATTTCATAGACCTTTCCTGTGCCCATCCTATGTGCCCCACCCCACTCCTGCCCTGTCCAGGTTCCATAAATAGCCCTGGTCAATGCATCAGAGGCAAGGCAGCCAGACAGGTGCACGCCAACAGATCCCGGTGGAAAAGATGACTTCTCTAAAGCGAACTATAGCTACCATTCAGACCAAGGGGTGGCAAGTCAAATTCTCCAAGACACACTGTTCTTGGCTGAAAACAGGCCCACCTGGACTTGCAGGCTCGGCCAGCTCCGAGAAGGAAGAGCCAGAGGCCAAGAGGAAAGCAAGGGCAGGAACTCGGAAAAAATAATCAAAGCAGCTCCTGCCTGTAGGTCTCTCCCAGGTCCACCCCCAGGCCCCCCCCCCCCACCCAGATCCGCCATCTGCCGGTGTGGTCACAGTAGCTGAGGGGTGAGGACCGGGCTGGGGAGGGGAGGAACAGGAGAGATCAGGGGAAGGCATTTGCCCCACACCCATCCCCTTGGGCTCCCTGAGCCAGGAAGGAGGGAGAGGACAGAAGGGGGAGGCAAAAACAAAACAAGGGCCAAGCTATACCACATGATCCACACCCAGCAACCAAGGAGAAAGTCATGAGGGAAGCAGGGCAGAAGGCGGGGAGGGGGGCAGAAGGCAGGCCACAGCCCAGCCAGGAAGGCCCTTCCCCACCCATGGTTTTGAAAACAGTCAAGGTCAGATCCTTTGCCACCCAAAACCTGCTTTCACCTGGGTCTGCACAGGGCTTACAGCTCATCCCTCTCCTCCAGGGAACTTTCCCAGATTTACCCAGTATCCACATGCCCCCCTGGGGCAGACCTTTGCAGCACCTCTCCCCACCTAGGGCACGCCTATGTACCCCACCCCCCACCCCCCAGTTAATCCCTTGAGTGATCCACAGCAGGCTGTCAGCCCTGGGGCTGGCTTCCAGATCCCTCCAGAGCCCAAAACAGGAAATGGGGCTCCAGGTCTGAAGCCTTGATCTTCGCCCAGGGAAGGTGAAATGCTGCCAAAATAAATGATTAAGAAAACCCAGTGGCCCTTCTAGGTGGAAGTAGCTGGGAGCCGATCTGCTGTGCGTTACCCACCCAGCAGTCCCCACCTGGGATGGGGCAGGCCCCTGCCGGCTGACTGAAGTCTCCATTCTTTACTCAGGAGACCTGCTGTCCTCAGACCAGGGACACAGGATGCAGAGGGACAGGGCACGCCGGAGGGCATCCAAGAACAGGCAAGAGGCATATGCCCTCGGCCACCTCCAGGTCTGCACGGCTGACACCTGGCCTGCTCCTCGCTGGGCACCCCTTCGGCTTCCAGGAAAGGGAGACAGGCCTGGGGGCCCGAAGATCATTCTTCTAGAGGTTTCCAGGGCCCCAGGCTTCTGCTGGATCCCACCCCTAACTTGCCTCCGCAACACTCACACCTCCCCCCAGGCCGCCTGGGGCCCACCGGGCGCCCAGCACCTGTTTGGGGAGCTAGCAGGGGACCTCAGCGTGCCAAGAAGCGACCTGTCAGTTTATGTATGCCCTTGAGCACGAGACAAGTGCTCACCGCCCTGGAGGGGTCCGGGGTCCTGACTCCCCTCACCAGCCCCTCCGGTTAGGTTTTCAACCGTTTCCGCGCCCCCGCGACCCCACTCACTGCGTGTGCTGGGCGCGGCCTGCAGCGAAGACCTCGTCCAGCGCCACGGTGGCCTGGCCCAGGAACTTGTCGACGCCGATGAGCGAGCGGTGCATGGTGGTGAGCACCAGCTCGCAGGCGGCGGCGGAGCCGGCGGCCCAGGGCGCCGGCCCCGCGTCCGTCTCCTGCGCCCGCAGCAGGCCATCCAGGGCGCCGGGCGGCAGCTCGAAGGAGCACTCCTCGCGCCACTCGGGGCAGCCGTGCGTCTTCTCCACCACCGACGTGCTGTACTTCTCGCGGCCCACCTGGATCACGGTGTACGCATCGCTGGTGCTGCCGGCGCCCGAGCTCTTGCCCCGCAGCCCGCGGGCCCGCAGCACCGTCACCTGGACGTGCGTAGGGAGCCAGCGGGAGGGCCCCGCAGCCGGCTCGGCGTCCCGCTCCAGGGCCATGGCCGGGGCTGGCGAGCCGGACGCGGGGACTCGGCGACAAACTTGGCAGCGGCAGAGGGTGGCGGGGAGCCTGCTCGCACGCCGCCGCCCGCACACCCGGCCACCGCAGCTGCGGGCTGGGCTGGGCTGGGCCGGGCTGGGCCGAGGGGCCGGCGTCTTGCCATCTCACCAGCTCGGCGAGCGGGGACGGCGCGCGCGCCGCAACGTCAATTGCAGGCTGAGCCACCGGCCCCGCCCCGCGGCCCGCGGCCCCGACCCGCGCGGCGGTGCGGCAGTGGCGCGGGAGCGCCGCTCCGCCCCGGCCGGCGCACACCGCGGAGAGAGCGAGGGGGCGGCGCGCGGCCTCTGCAGCGGGGTGGGCGGGGCTCCCACGCGGCCCCGCCCCGGACGGGGGGCGCCCGCGCAACCCCGCCTCGCTGTGCGGGAGCGCCACGCCCTCGGCCAGGTCCGAAATCCGCGCTCTGGGCCTGCGGGCCAATCCCGAATCTTCCTGCTGGGTGCCCCCCGCTCCGGAAAGCGCCCGCCCCTGCCAGGACAAATGCCCGCGTGAGGTCGGAGCGGGTCGTGCCCCGCCTCGTGAGGGCCCCGCATCCGCGACCTGGAAGCGGGTGAGCTGCTGCCGCCCCCGACCCCGCCCGGGGCGCCAGAGGGCGAGGCCGAGTAGCCGGGTGATGAATAAATGAGTGACCGCATCAATATTTAAGTGTCCACCCCGAGCCTGCAGCTCGTGCGTCACGGGGTGGGGGAAATTGCAGGCTTCGGTGGGGGTTTTAAATAATGGCCCCCACCCTGAGTGGAGCGCCCACTGCATGCCGAGGCCCTGCACGCCGGCTGTTATTAATAATTCTGATATTAGCATTAATAATCACAGATGCTAATTTCACCCTGCACGGCCCTGTGCCTCATATACATTACCTCATATTATCCTCAGGGCAACCCCAAGGCGCGAGTGTGGTTTTTATTCTTGTTTTCCAGGAGGTAAAATTGCAGTTTAGGTGAAATTTGCCTAAGATCCCTAATGGCAGAGGTGGCCTTTGAATCCACATGGATGACCCCTCCGCCGCCACCACAGCCTGTACTTTTTTTTTTTTTTTTTAATTTTCAGGGCCTGTTCCTTTAAAATAATTTTTAAGTCAAATGTACGTGGCTTTAAAAGATCAAATAGGTCAGAGGCTCACCACGAGGACCAGCCTCTCCATCCAGCCTGAAATTCAGTCCAGGGACTGTACTTCAAGCCGCTCGTGTGCCCTGATGGCCACCCCTGCATGGCCATGTAAAATGCTTGTGCAGCTGTATCTGCTCACCAGGCCTGGCCATTGTCTGGCCTGCCTGCTGCACTGGACGGAGAGTCGGTGCCCTCATGGCCACCTCCCTGCCCGGGTAGGGTAGCTGCCCTCAGGTTTGTAGCTCTTCTGTAGGGTACCTGGATAGCAGCAGCCTTCTTTCCTTAGGGAGACCCCCCACAGTGCCCTGGACTTCCCACTCTCCAAGGCTGTGTGTGAGGGCACCCACAGAAACACACCCACTCCCTGCGCATCCCTGTGGACGGCCCCCGGCTTTGCAGACAGCCCGATTGGAAAATGGGGACGATGATTCCTGCCCCCCAACAGTTGCTGAGCTGACATGAGAAAACATCGTCAGAGATTTTCAGGAAGCGGAAACCACCACAAATGATGTCCAGGCATCCAATCACAAAGTGCAGCCTTTGCCCTGGTGATAAAAGTGATTTAGAAAGCCATGGAGAAAATAAAAATGAGTCAAAATCCCACCATTCAGAGATAAACCCTGTTAGAAATGTATTGAATGTCTTCCCAGTCTTTGCATTTATCTTGTTTTATATGCACTGTGGCTTTGAGTGTGAGAGTTAAACCCGGGGGATCTGGCGTCCTGAATCTATCGTTTACAGCCATGTTTTCACCATCACTAAAGGCAGGTGCCGTTGCTACCTCCCACTTCAGTGATGAGGAGACTGAAGCAGAGGGAGCTCAGGTGAGCCCCCACGCCCCCACGCCTCCTACTGGAAAACTGCAGACTTCCCTGTGCCCACACTAACTTGTGGGTCATCTAAGCACTGCCTGCATTTAATGTTGATTAACAGGAAGTGCTCATACCATTTTACAGATGAAGAAATTGAGATACAAAACGGTTAACAGACTTACTCGAGGCTAAGAAGTCAGGATGAAGCCCCCACTTTAAGAGTAGGTTCTGAGGCCGGTGTTGTGGTGGACAGGATTAAGCTGCCATTTTGATGCTGGCATCCCGTGTGGGCACTGGTTTGAGTCCCAGGTACTCCACTTCTGATCCAGCTCCCTGCTGATGGTCTGGGAAAAACAGCAGGAGATGGCCCAAGTCCTTGGCCTCTTGCACCCATGTGAGAGACCCAGTTAAAGCTCCTGGCTCCTGGCTCCTGGATTCAGCACGGCCCATCCCCTGCTGTTGTGGCCATCTGGAGAATGAACCAGAGGGTGGAAGATTCTCTCTCCCTCTCTCTCTGTCTCTCTGTCTCTCTGTAACTCTACCTTTCAAATAAATAAAATAAATCCTCAAAAACAAAAAAAAAAAGAGTGGATTCTCGCAAGGGCTTTGCAAATGAAGATACTTTTACCAAACGTCAGCCAACACGAGCCACTCCTTCAGAGGTTGTTTCCTGTTTGCCTACTCTCCAAAGGGACTGCTCCCATGCCCACCCCACCCCTTTGGGGCCGCAAGGCTCCAGGAAGGGGTGAAGGGGAACTCAGAGGGGCTCCTCCACCTCTCGCTCTTCCTCCTGCCCTGGGCCCTGCAGTTTGGCAAGCTGCAGCTTTCTGCTGGCTCAGGACTGTGCTGGTTGTCAGGGGCCAGTGAAGCCAGTCTGAGCTCTCCCAATAGTTATTCAGCCGGAGAAGGAAAGGGCAGGGCTGCCAGCGGCTGCAGTGGGAAACAGAGCAGACACTCCAAAGACACCAGGTCCTGGCCGCCTACAGGTGTCCTTCCCTCCTCGAAGATGAGACCTCCCACCCCTAATTCCTACAGCCTGCGTGAGAATCCGGAGAGTCCCAGCTTGCTCTGCTCCCCCCACCCCCAGGTTGGCTGTCCTCACTGCTGACCTGGGCCTCTAAGCCAGTAGGAACAGTTCTTGCAGGCAGAGCTGGCCCCGGCAGCTTCCTCTCATCTCTCTCCCCTGCAATACCATCTAAGCCAGGTTGTCCTCCAAGCAGGCATTCCAGACACAGTTGTTGGGCTCTTCAAGCTACACCCCTCCACCCCTGTTGGTCACCTCCTGCAGCCATTGTCGGAGTTCCTCTTGATAGCACAGGCACACAGTCAGGACTGAACCCTGCTGCCCCCACCTAGGAGCTGTATAAACTGGAGCAAATAACTGAGCCTCAGTTCCTACATCTGTTAAAATGGTCCTGTAATAGGAAATGATTTCATAGGGTTAGTGTGACAGCTAGCCTGGTGCACCATAAGCAGTAATGAATATTACCATGTTAGATATCTTACCTAAGAGCAAATGGTTATACCTCTGTTTCATTTGCGTGTATTTGATTGCCAGTGAAATTCGACATTTTTTCCAACAGGTCATAGTCATCTGTATTTATTCCTATAATGAATTCTCTATTTTCTAAGTTATTTACTGTGCCTATTTTTCTCTGAAGCCTTATGTTCTTAACTCATATTAACTCTTTCTACTTTTTTTTTTTAAGATTTACTTATTTATTTGAAAGGCAGAATTACACAGAGAGGAGAGGCAGAGAGAGAAAGGTCTTCGTCTGCTGATTCACTCCCCAATTATCCGCAACAGCTGAAGCTGCGCCCATCCGAAGCCAGGAGCCAGGAGCTTTTTCCAGGTCTCCCACGTGGTTGCAGGGGCCCAAGGACTTGGGCCATCTTCTACTGCTTTCCCAGGCCATAATAGAGAACTGGATCGGAAGTGGAGCAGCCAAGACTCAAACCAGCACCCATATGAGATGCAGGCACTGCAGGTAGCAGCTTTACCTGCTACGCTACAGCGCCAGCCCCTCTTTTTATGTTAAGAATAGAAAACTTGGGACTGCCATCATGGCATAGTGGGTTAAGCCTCTGCCTGTGATCCAGCATCCCATATGGGCGCTGGTTCAACTCCTACTTCCAATCCAGCTACCTGCTAATGCATCTAGGAAAGCAGCAAAGATGGCCCAAGTGCTTAGGCCCCTACACCCACATGGGAGACCTGGAAGGAGCTCCTGGCTTCAGATCAGCCCAGCTCTAGCTGTTGCAGCGATTTGGGGATTGAACCAGCAGAAGGGAGATTCTCTGTCTCTCCTCCCTCTCTCTGTAATTCTGCTTTTCAAATGAATAAATAAATATTTTTTGAAAAGAATAGAAAACTCGTCTTTTACATTTATTGCAAACATGTTTTTTTATTTATTTTATTTTTTGACAGGCAGAGTGGACAGAGAGAGAGACAGAGAGAAAGGTCTTCCTTTTTGCCGTTGGTTCACCCTCCAGTGGCTGCCGCGGCCGGCGCGCTGCGGCCGGCGCACTGCGCTGATCCAATGGCAGGAGCCAGGTACTTCTGGTCTCCCATGGGGTGCAGGGTCCAAGTACTTGGGCCATCCTCCACTGCACTCCCTGGCCACAGCAGAGAGCTGTCCTGGAAGAGGGGCAACCGGGACAGAATCCAGCGCCCCAACCGGGACTAGAACCCAGTGTGCCGGCGCCGCAAGGCGGAGGATTAGCCTAGTGAGCCGTGGCGCCAGCTGCAAACATGTTTTTGACATAAGAAGCTATATAAAATCCTTGAATGTCTTCCACAGTAAACTTGGGTTCTTCCACACTCAAGAGTCCAATGATACTCATTCAAATGTTTTCTACTTTTTAGGTTGTTGGGCTTTTGTTTGTTCTTTCATTCTTCTTAAATCCTTCTGTAAGATATTTCAGTGAATGATTTGAGGTATAATCTAACTCTCATCCCTAAAAGCTACCCAACTTTCCCAGTATTGCAGAACCTTATTGCTAAGCAATCAGGCTTATGACATAAATCCTATACATAATAATAGTCACTGCATTCTAGTCCATTGATATTTATATCAGTCTGTTTTAATTATTGTTCTTTTAAATTTTTTTACAATGGAAGAGCAAATCTTTATTCATTTCTTTCTCTGAAAGATATTACAGCTGCTATTACCCATATATTCATCTG